CTTCTATATGTTAGACTAATGATACAAAACAAAGATGAAATAGAATAAGTTTATGTTGACATGTTTTAATTTCAGCTAGTTCCACGTTCGATGAATATACGGAATCGCTACCTAGCCCGCGTTTTTCTCTTGATCAGTCAAACGAGATCTACTTCGTCCTTTGTTTTGGGTTATCTCAAGAAGGCACTTCGTTGTATACAAACTTGGATTAACTTAACATTTATCGTCAACTCAATCGTTAACACTTCCTTCATGTTTACTCTTTTTTATAACTTTTCAGTAACAAAAATAACCTTGACTAGAGTTCTAACTTTGAACGGAATGTGGATCTTCTACAGTTTATCTCTTCAAACAAATTTTATAAATTTGCAGTGTATATCTCTGATACTCTCATAATCGTAAGATGTAGAAAACTTCAAATAAATGCTTACTATTTTATTTTGTTCCAATGAAATCTTTTCTAATTTAACATTTTGTAATCCTCTCTGGATACCAGTTATTTCATTTCCTAACAATTGTTGTTCTTCTTTTAAGTATTTTGAATCAATCTTTTTCTCATTAATTATTTGTCGATATTTAATTATTTCTGTAATATTTAACTGTATTTTTCGTTGTATATCATGTATTTCTTTTTCATATTTCGGATCCTTTTCACTGTTTGATTTTCTATTCACCATAAATCTATATTCTTCAATGCATTTTTTATTTTCTTTTTCTTCGCGTGATAAATCTTGTTCTAATCTACGTATTTCATTTTCAACTGATTTTAGTCTGTCACTTAATTTTTTCAGCTCATCATTATAAATTCTATCTACATTCAATTTTAAATTATTATGAATATCTTTACCATCGTCAAGAAATTTTTGATATGACTCTAATCTCATATCTAATGTTTTACTATCCGCTTCTAACAATATTATTTTATCTATATAGGATGCAAACTTATCATTTAGTTTAGCCAGTTGATGTTTTTCATCTTCACGTCTTTCGTATGTTGAACTACCATCGTTCATTAAAAGTAACATATCATAGTTAATACTACCATTCACATAATTGGATGATAATGTTCGTTTTGATAAAAGCGGCGTAGGTGTGTATCGAGCAAAACGATCAACAGATCTTGAGCGAAAAATTCGATGTAAAGTCCCCATATTTTGCGATTGACCTCTGTTAAAACTCATAATTATTCAATATGAGTAGTGATCTAGAAAGCCAAAAATATAGATCTAAAATTAAAGATTGAAATCCAAAGATTGAATTGAAACACAGATGAGCTGATCCTTGTAATAAACAGTACCCAGCAACTCACAGCAGGGGGAAGGTCCTACCAAAAAAAATTTTTCGTTTTTCCAAAAACGATGGTTTTTTGAAGAGCGAAAGATACAAAACAGAAACTTTTTCGAAAGCAGGGGAGTGGTAAACACTCCCAAAACCGTCGAGCAGACACACCTCCGGTAACAAATCACAAGAACGGTCTTACCGACGGTGAGATGTATATCTTGTATTATAATTAGAGACGTTAGAAGGTGAAATTTTTTTGCTAGAAATCTTTGTGTAGAAAAAAACACATCACGACGAGCTAAACATGCTTTATACATCAGAAACTTTATCTAATTTAATCTCCCGATAACACGGTTCTGTTTAGGATAAGACTATCATCAGCAGAATATATAAAATATGATGTATCCCGATCAAGTTATCTCGGAGCGTTGCTGAATAAAGTTGAGTTAGAATTACTTATTTAGTTACAAATAATTACCTTTTCTACGATTCAATAGGTAATCATAAGATATAAAAACTCAAAATAAGTTTTGATTCTGTTAAATGCGTTTTTCTTAAAAACTCTTTGAGCGTTAAATAATTTGTTGATATTTTGTTACAGGTTATCGGCAATGGCGAATCTAGTGAAGATGTACGCGGACATGTATGACACATCCTTGAGCTTATGCAATACACATGCAAAAAAAGCCATTTTTTTGCTATGGGGCTTCTGGAAAACTCACTCAAAATCTATGGAAAACCTATCCTATCGACACAAAAATTATGCGTTAGAAAGTAGACACTATGGGCTATTCAACCATGTGCTTTTCTTAAAGTCGATATTTTTGACGAAAATCGGCATTTTTGACCCTGGGGCCTTAAGTAAACCTCTTTTTCGTAATGATCAATATGAATATCGTGCAGTGTTTTGATAATAAATCAATGCAAGCCGATAGCTTCTTCTCTATGAAATGTTGTCATCTCGTTCTCGTTTGAAGAAGGCCTTGTTACGAAGAGCAAAAAAATACTTAAAGCAGAGTACAGTCAAGAAAAGTTATGTAATCTATCTTACTATCCCTCTCTCTCATACTCTTTCTTTTCTTTCTTTTCTTTTTTTTTCGTTGATTAGGATTTTGTTACTCCTACTCACATATTGTAACATCAAAGACATATTTATTTATATTATTTTGCTACAGTTTATGGTAATCAAGGAGAAGGTGCAATGACTTCTGGCGATTCCATCTTTAAGATTACATATTCTTGAATACGTTCTTTTTACTTGTTATTTAAATAAATACAGTTTAAACTAACAGTCAAGAACAAGAATGACTTCAAATTATAATTTGATACCACCACTTCTCGTGAAAATGCTAGTAAAACTACACGCATACTCTAATGAGCTCATTATTATAAATTCTGCTAGCGTCTTGAAAAGTATGTGGATCCACTAACTAACTATAGCTGCAAAAACAAATATTTAATAAACTTCGCACAGACAGAAGTATCAAAAGACAAACATCATGACGGTGGTGGTAGTAAAATAATGTTCAAAATGTTGTGATTTGGATTTCCACGGAAACCCTTTACTCCATTTTAGAATTTCCGTTAAGCATCTTATAATTTATATTAATCAACGCACTCTTTATCAAACATCCGCTTTTCAGATTATCAATACACTATTTTTCAAGTCTTCTGATCTCGAGACTATCTGGTATTGACAACGAAATGGATAGGGGGCAGAGCAGAAGCAAGAAAAAGTGTTCTACATCGAACATCATCTTATCCTAGTATACTTACTCGACAATTTGTATACGGTGTTCTGTGGCAGTAGTAGTGGACTCACTTTCTTCCTTACCCCTCACCAATCGAAAATATTGACTGATAATGCAATGCAATGCCTTTTGTCTACGTTACGTCGACAGAAATCTGCTTCACAATAATTGTGCTTATTCACTTGGCAGTGAAAATTTCTCAAAATACCATCAGACATAATTCACATAAAGTGAAAGTGAAAGAATAAATGTGGTCGTCTGTGGAATAGTGGTGAGTGAAAATAAATTAAAAAGCTTCCATCCTATGTCTGAGCGATTATTATCTAATCACATTGCAGTCTAGAAAATANAAATTAAAAAGCTTTCTTCTCAATTTCTAATACTTAATCAATTTAGTTTGCAGCTGTACTCTACTTCAAATAGTATTTCTTTTCTCTTCGTAACAAGGTCTTATTCAGATGAGAACGAGAAGACAACATTTCGTAGAGAAGAATCTGTCGGCTTGCATTGACTTGTTATCAAAATACTGCACGATATTAATACTGATTATTGCAAAGAAGAGTTTTAGTTAACTGTAATGATAGATGTGATCCCGAGAATGAATAAAGTATCTCTGCATGTTTTAGAGAGCGATTTCCAAAGAGAAAAGCTCTAGACCTCATCTGGCTAAAATAGGTTGGGCATTGGAAGAGGTTGATATCTTCTTAATAATAGATGTAGGCGCTTTATTACTGTACATTTCTCCATGGTTCCGAATTCCATGGTTATCGGATTCCACGCTTACAGTGAACAAAAAGAGTTATACCAGAACTGTTGGAATCACTATTAAAACTTTTTGTACACAAGATCTTGGTCAAGATATCATCGAAAAATCCAAGAAGTCCAGATCTTAGTTACAAAATGTTTGACTGAGAATTTGTTCTTGTATACCAGACTGTATTGAATTATTTATGTGTAATTTCTTTCTTTTGTGGCATAGAAGAAAAAAGCTTACTTAATGCTTTATTTAGCGTAGTCCTTGAATAGATTGTCTGAAGTGTTTATGTAAATTGGTGGTATTTCTTTTCAAAACAAAACGAAAAAAATGGTTTAGTGTAATGGTTGATGACTTAAGTATAAATGATTCATCATCGTTTACTTAACGAAAAACAAGAAAAATATATAAACTAAATACAATACAGTTTGAAACTCTAACTATTTTCTAATTTTTTGTCCTGGTAATATAAAATATCAAAGAACAAACATATTCCTATAATATAGGTAATTATAACACTAATTTTTCATCATGATGGAAAATTGTTAATACATTGCTAATACGTGCAAAATAGTTGGCTCATAAAGCTGAAGGCTTTTATAAAAAAAAAATCATTTCAAACAAGATCTTTCCTACGCACTTGGAGAGCTGATGCTAATGATTTTGAAACATATTTAGACGGGAGATGATCTGACCATTAAATCCTTTCCTTTGCACCTGGTGATCGTTTGGTGTTGCTTACAGGAAGACTGTCTTTACCTTTATTTTCTAGACTGCAATGTGATTAGATAATAATCGCTCAGACATAGGATGGAAGCTGCTTTTCGTAATTCTTCTCTGTGCAAAAACAAAAAAGAACAATGTAGTTATTTGTTTTTCTCGACACATTTGGTCTAAGGTCTAAGGCCATGTTATCTGGCTCTCACCGAAGGGTTATGGAGGTTTTTACAAAAGCTTTTTGAAAATCTTAAAAAGGTGAAATTTTATTTTCCGATAAAAAATAAATCCAAAATTCGTTCAATAACACCAGGAGATAGAGCAAACATTTCTGATCAAAACGAGATATCTTGCTGGAAGCCCTAAAACTTGCATCAGATACTGCACCACCATATCTCGAAAGCGACTTTCACCTTAACACCATTTCGTAGCTTCAAGATTTTTCGGTAACAAAATATCGCCGAGAGCTCGGAAAAGTCTTGAATTGAAGCTGACACATGTGGCTGGATTCTGATACAGCTCGATTTTTGATATTCAGTTTAAATTTGTGATTAAAAAAACGTCTTTACCGAAATTAATGAGACTTTTTCGAATTTTGAACTTTTGACGCTGACCATTAATTTGAGAAGTAAAATATCAAACATTCGGCTCTATTAGCCTCTAGCCACATGTGTTTTCGTCAACTTAAGACCAGCTCGAGCTCTCCACAACGTTTCGTTACTGGGAAATCCTGCAGCTACGAATAGCCAAGGTGGAAATCTCCTAAAAGTTTGGTCAACGTCCAACTTATACTTTCAGAGTTAGGTTTCTGATGGGGATAGGGGGCTTAATGATTTATACTAGTTTCACTCATCGTACCCGAGACAATCTCACTTTCATCGAGATGGTTTTCTTTTTCTTGTTATTTTTTGTTCTTTCTTCTCTGATAGTAGTGTCTATTACTACATGTCTAATTCGATTTGAAAACATTTTTAAAATGTTTTGATTTAACCATAGCCTACTACCTGTTTCGAAATATAATGCACTTCAATGTTTTTGAATAACTCGAGAGTAGAATGAGCTAGAGAGCTGTTTTTTTATGACAGAGGACACCCCGGGGGGAATAAGTCTACGCTAAAATGAGTCTTATTCGGCAGGTATACCACAGTGTACCTTTCGAAGCAAACAGTCCAGCCTATCATTCCAAAAATCTGCATAGCGGGATATTGCTCTAAATACATGTAGATATAAAGCAGATGTCGCTCTACAACCTGACTCAAGTCCCACACCTCCATCGACCTTGGTTTGGCGCCACAGGCAATCTCCGAACATCTACTTATCGGCCAAACCTCAGCTCTTGGAACCTTAAAAACACACGGTACGTAGGATATTGGATATCGTGATAATTATGGCAATGTTTGTTTTGTTGTTCGCATAACGGAAACTGCAAAAGGGAACTTTTTCAGAAAATACGCTTTTTCTACTCTGACCATACTAAAATAAAAACCTTATTGAGCCTTCATTTCCCAACCAAATTACTTAAAATTTTCAAAACTTGCTCAGGTTCACCTGCTGTAGAGTTTAAGAAGGTTAAAGTTTGTTTTCCTACTGAGATTTCACGTGAAGATCATCAATGTTCTTCTGGAAAACCTTCCAAAGATATCATTTAGTTTTCTGCACTTCTGTCCCGGTAGTGTAATGAAACACTACAAACTAAGTTTATTTTGAAAATTTGAAGTAATTTGGTTGAGAAATGAAGGCTCTATAAAGTTTTTATTTTAGTATGGTCAGAGTAGAAAAAGCGTATTTTCTGAAAAAGTTCCCTTTTGCAGTTTCCGTTTATGCGAACAACAAAACAAACATTGCCATATTATCACCATATCCAATATCCTATGTACCGTGTGTTTTTGAGGTTTGGCCGATAAGTAGGTGTTCGGAGATTGCCTGTGGCGCCAAACCAAGGTCGATGGAGGTGTGGGACTTGAGTCAGAGCGACATCTGCTTTATATCTGTATGTATTTAGAGCAATCGTGTATTGTCTCAGATAAGCTGCTTGTTTCAATAATATTTCCCGATCAGAGCAGCACGCTTTGCTCACCGCCGACTTTTTATTAATCTGAAAGCGAGTGAAGAAAACATCTTTTTTGTCGTTGTTAACAAAAAAACAACTGAATCTGAATTCGTTATAAAATGACTTTGACTACATATGTGTACTTCACGCTCGCAACCCGTTTTTTCCTAGAAACGTTATCCACAACGGTAGATCATAATCCATTTAATGTTAAATATTTTAACATTAAACTTTTTAACAAGAAATAAATGAGAAGAGAGAGTACAGTCTTCTCCACAAAATGAACAATATGCGTCTCTTTTCTTTCTCGAAACACATCAGTGTCCACTATATTTTGAAACAAACAGTAAATTATTCATCGCTTATTCGAGCTGAAAAAATTTCATTTGATAAATTCATTCTAGTCGTAGAGATGGAAGTATCATGAAAAAATGTCTATTGTTTTACATTTGTGGTATTAGTAATTATTTGTATTTGAGGCTGTATTCTTCTATGTCGTCGTTGTTGTTGTAGTCTTAATAAACATTGTCCTGTTTGTTTCCATTGTTTATAAAATCGTTTATCTAGCAAAATAAATATCAATGGATCTATAATTATTCTTGATAGTGCACATATTTTCGTATATTGACTTATATCACCAAATTCAAGTAATCGATACGAGATAATTACATGTGGTGACCATAATGTTAACCATACAAAATACAATACAAATAATTGAATTAATAATAAAATTTGCTGTTTATGTTGACAACGTTGAATATTTGATCGTGATTTTCGTACATGTAAAAAAATAAGTAATGTAAAAAGACCGTTTAATAAAACCGGTATAATAATAACAAGTGTTATATTTATATATTCATCAATCCCCAATATCAGATCAATGTGACAAGGCATCATTCTACTTGTAGTATGTACATAACCAATATGTAAAATATTTATTTGAAATATTAAACTTAATAAAGCTATTATATACAAAGATAACATTGATATAATTAACAGATTCCATATACGTTGACTATGATGAAATAAATTAACATTTCTAACAATATGTAAATATCGACATAGGTTTAAACCAACTAAAAGATAAGATTCAATTGAACTCAAATATATTCCGGTATAACTTTCTAAATAACATAAAAATCCACGTAATAAAGAATGAATATGGCAAATTAATGATGATATTCGTGTACCATATTCAATATAAAATTGCATAAGATAGACAAGATCACATAACATATAATTATAAATCCATAACATTGAACGTTTACGTAATTGATGATAAAATGAAATGTGTAGCCAAAATATGATATGTATTACAACAGCTGGAAATGATAGTCCAAAACATATTTTAGAATAATAAATAAAATCTTCATTTGATGATACTTGCTCACAGTTAGACAGGTTATTATCTGACATATTTATACAGCTAAAATGAGAACAAAAACTGAAAATGTTTTTGTAACGACAAGGAATAAAAAATCTTTATTTTATACTGATCACGTACTTTTATTGAATTCAATTAGACAATAATATCCTATTACTTTCTTTTTGGTTCAAAAGCAACATCCGTCTTTGCATAAAAAGGAAGGACATAAATAAACAGATCAAATATTTTTCATATACCTGTTTTCTTCATCAAGTGTTTTGAATGTGTCCATATAAAGTAAAAATTTGCCCTTTTTCACGAGAAATAATAAAAGATGAAGATATCTAACGACAACACACAGACACTCAAGTATACAGTTAGCCACGAGATTACACAGACACGCATAAGAGAACACCTCATGCGTAGCCTAGTAGTAAGAAGGCGGAAGAGGAGCACACGGTAGGCAAAACTACTGAAAGATCTTAGTTAGTGTTCTATTCAGAAACTTATTGGCGTTCGATGTCTATGTGGGTTCAAAAGGTTAGACACGACAGAACTGCACGTTATTCACAAGAGCTTTTACCCATCTTCAAGTTTGATAAACTTGAAGAGCACAGCGCGTAAACATTTCTATCAGTATGAGAGGGCGGATACTACTTAAAAAATCTTTTATTTGTGAGAGGAGCTGCCCATAGAATCGACTAACAGGTGGTCCATATTAAACTACCGGCCTGTGCAAAGCTTTTTCTCAAGTTGAGCTTGATCAAAAAATTTCATTTGAATTCTAAAAGATAGAGAATTTTGCCTAGATTTTAGTAAGATTCCTTTTGAAATAAATATTTACCGTTTTTCAAAAACCGAGTTTTTGAACATTAAAACTCGGTTTTTACCCATAAAATAACTCTTTCATCCGAATAACGTCATATTCATGCTCAACGTCAAACACTGCATTTAATGATGTGTCAATTGAACTTTAGCGAACGTTTTGCTGTCGTCTAAAAGCAGCACCTGCTGTTTTACTCACTAAGCATATGATAGGGGACGAAAGGCATTTTTTTTACACAAAAGCAAAACTTTCAGAATCAAGCTGATTGCAGCTATGTGAAGGCCATTGGAAATTATGTTTGGCGTAAACAGCTGATGCATTAGATTTTAAACAGGAATCTCCTATTTTCAGTATTAAACTTCAAACATTTAAGTGTCAATATTTTTTGTTGTAAAAACTTTTAAGTTCGAAAACATCCGATTATGAGATAAGCAATCATTTTCTACAAAACTAGACCATTGGATGCAAAAAATCTTAGTGAGCCGATTTGCCTACTTATGAACTCCCGTCCATAAGGGCATGGACGTTTTGTTGATTGACAATAAAATATTAGCTTCGGTACAAAACCAAAAATGAATAAAAAGAAAAACATTTTATGGAAAATTAGATTAAAAGATATCGTGTGTTTGAGCATAAAAAAGATTCTGTTCTGAAAATAGTGTTCAAAAATTCGAACGCCCGTTGTATAAGAATAGCTAAGGACATGTAAAGAAGTTTATAGATAATATCTGTTTTAGAACATCTCAAAGAACATGAAAGAAATATCATTGCAGTTAAATGCACAACTGTAGCAATTCATTGTGAATCAAGTCAAAACTTTTTGAAATGTTATTTAAATACATCAGCTTGTGTTTCTATGCTTTGGTGAAAACTGTATATGAAAACATCTTTTTTTATTTTTAGTCTAGAGCTAGGACTAAACACACATCATATTGTGATGATGCAAGAACTACTCTACAAATATAACATGATATTAGCTCGAAACAAGCGGGGGGAGAGATTTCGACCCTAAGCTAACGGAGTCCACTAAGCACTTCTGAGTTTTTTTGAACCTTGATCAAGAGCCACAGAATAAATAATTCCTGGTATCCTAGGCTTGGATGAGTATGCTTCAGGAGAATTTTAGTCTCACCGTGCCTGCGTTCCATCGAGTCAGGCGTAAATGAACCTTATATATGTATTCCGCACCTAGATTTCGCCTGTTTTTTCATTATGGGTATATGCACGGAATTGTTGAATGCACGAAATATTCAAATAAAACTTAATTTAGCTTCATTCTTCGACCTGTTTTTCAATACATTATCTTCATATGATGCATAAATCATTACGGACATTGAAGCTGAATAAAAGAAAAGCAACAACACAGGATATATGTTATTGTATTACTTTTTTCTTTTAAAATTCAACCATTTGACATTTTACTCTCAATTTCTTATTTGTGTATAATCGGTGTATCATCACCCTTATGATGTTTTGACATTTAAAAGAAACTGATTGTTGTATAAATATTTATCCGGATTATGTGGATATTATACTTATTTTCTTTATTTTTCTATTCAGAATTTAAAAATAAAAAAGATAAAATCCGTATTTGAAAGACAGATCTGTTTCTCTATACATCTATAGCGTAAATTAACCGTTAAGATAAATTAACATAACAACAATGAAACAATTATACTTCATTGTGGCCATACTCATTTTTTGTTGTTTATTAGATAGCAATGGATTGCAGTCAACCTATTGTAATCCTATCAATATTGATTATACTTATAGTATCTATAATGCACATCAGAATATTTCATATCGTTCCGGTGCTGATCCAGCTGTTGTTAAATTCAGAAACGAATATTACATGTTTGTTACTCGCTCCATGGGCTATTGGTACTCAATTGATTTACTTAATTGGTCATTTATAACTCCTGAAAAGTGGTATTTCCAAGGATCAAATGCACCAGCAGCTCATAATTACAATGATTCTGTTCTATACGTAACCGGAGATCCTTCTGGTTCTATGAGTATTCTTTATACGGACAATCCGAAGAAGGGAGACTGGAAATCAGTACCATCGATTTTAAATGATCTACAGGATCCTGATTTATTTATAGATGATGATGGTAAAGCTTACATGTTTTGGGGTTCATCTAATACATATCCTATTCGAGCACGAACACTTGATGCCGAAGATCTATTTCGTCCTTCCGAAAAAATATATGAATTATTTAATCTCAATGAAATAAGTCATGGATGGGAGCGATTTGGAGAAGATCATTCTGACACAGTACTTAAAGGGTACATTGAAGGACCATGGTTAACTAAACACAACAATACGTATTACATGCAATATGCAGCTCCTGGAACAGAATTTAATGTTTATGGAGATGGTGTTTATTTAAGTAATTCACCACTTGGACCATACCATTATGCACCAAATAATCCTATTTCATATAAACCAGGGGGATTTATGAATGGAGCTGGACATGGTAGTACTGTAATTGGACCTAGAAATATGTATTGGCATTTTGCATCAATGGCAGTGTCGATAAACGTTAACTGGGAAAGACGTATATGCATGTTTCCCACTTATTTTGATAAAGATGGACTGATGTATAGTAATACTTCTTTTGGTGATTATCCGCATTTCGCTTCGGTGGCAATTGATGAAAAAAAAATGGGAGAATTTACAGGATGGATGTTACTCTCATATAAAAAGCCGGTTAAAGTATCTTCTTACTATAGTAAATATGGACCAGAAAATATCGTTGATGAAAGTGTGAAGACATTTTGGATAGCAGAAAAAAATGATGATAAACAATGGATAGAAATTGATCTTGTCAATCATGGAACGGTGTATGCTATTCAAATAAACTATCATGATTATCAGTCAAACATTTATGGAAAAATTCCAGGACTACATCACCGTTATATAATAGAAGGCTCTACGGATGGTATCAATTGGTTGATTTTGGTGGATAGAAAAAATAATTATCAGGATGTGCCCAATGATTATGTTGAACTTGGCTCTCCTCAGACTGTCAGATATATCCGTTACAAAAATATCTATGTTCCCACTTCACAGCTTTCTATTTCCGATCTGAGAGTTTTTGGTCGTAGTCAGGGAAAAGCTCCGATCAAGGTAGAAAATTTGATTGTAACTAGACATAAGGATCGACGAGATGCTATGATTACTTGGGATCGACAACAACAGAATATCCAGGGATATAATGTTCTGTGGGGAATTGCCGAAGATAAATTATATAATTCATGGATGATCTACGACAGAAATTCTCTTGAATTGAAAAGTTTAACAGTGGATCAAAGCTATTACTTTTCGGTAGAGGCTTTTAATGAAAATGGAGTTTCAGAAAGGGCAAATATTGTCAAAAGCGAATAGTTTAATCAATTGTTTATGCACCATTTCCTGTTTCTGTCCTGTTGAGAATTATTTCATTCTTTTACTTTTCTCATAATATGTATATTGAAGTTGTTGAGATGTGAATAGCAAGTAGATTTAATGTTAAAACTAGACATGGAAGCGAATGAGAGTTTAAAGAAGGTCAACAAATTATTTATTAACACAAAAGCAAACAATGATAAATTATAATAAGATCGAATAACTAAATGATGCTCAAATCCCGGACATCTATCATACTTTTCATAGCTGAAATGCTTTGTGGTGATAAAATCAACTTAATGGACAAACGTATTTATGTATTAATGTATTTTCGTAAGAGAAATATTGTGCAAAGTATAATTAGGCAACATCTAAGCATACCGGCAGCAATAATAAGAATCATTTTCAAAATCAGCTTCTTTCTCTATGTATTAGCATTTTATATACTTCATTACAAACAAACAGCTCGAACCGTTGAACAACCAGAAAACTGAATATGATAGTTTTTCGTCTTTAGTTGATAGAAAACTATTAAAATTATGAAATTTGTTATGAATCGTCGGGGAGAAACTACGTGTACAGTTAAGCTTACTTTCTAGTAACCAAATATCCCATTATGAATAGTTTCAGTGTACTCAAGTTGTCAATCTATTAGATACTGAATAAAAGTTCTTTTAGAAGCTGTAGCATTGGACGTACATCAGACTTTGAACAGTAATCTCCTGTTTTCCGAAGTTAAACTTCTGACATTTTAGTGGTTTATCTTAGGGAGCATTTCAAAATTCTTGCCGTTCCCTCTGCTGCTCTGCCGTTCTGTCGCTCTGCCGCGGCACAACAGATTTATTTTAATGACCTTTCGATATATTATCGGTTTCTTTTGATGTATGTATACGAATACATGAAAGTTATTTTGATACAAAAATTTATTGAATTCTCTTTACGATTTTTCGATTAAAGTATAAAGCAAGAAACAAATAGTCTAAATTTTATATATTCATCAAATGTTCAACTTTTATATATTCAAGGAGGAGAGTATTCACTGTAAATTTCTTTCGTATTGTACCAACTTCGCGAACTAAAATTACATTAATTATAGAAGACCCATTCCCACTTTTTAATACTATTTAAAGTGTACGAATTGAACACGATAATGATCTATTTTTTACAAAAGGACTTGCACTACAAAAACTTGCATTTTTCAACGATAATCAGCGATATCTACAGCCATATGTATCAAAAAGTAAGAGGAATCCTTTTGTAAAAAATAGATCATTATCGTGTTCAATTCGTACACTTTAAATAGTATTAAAAAGTGGGA